CTTAACCTTCAAGGACACCTCTGAGACCTCGACCTTGAACCGTCACCCGAGGTCCTGAATCCTGGTTGGAGGATCGGGGTTTAGGGTTTAGGGCTTTGGGGGTTTAGGGGTTTAGGGGTTTAGGTGTTTAGGAGTTTAGGGGTTTAGGGGTTTAAGGGTTTAGGGTTTTAGGGTTTAGGGCTACTTACCACGAAACTTAAAGCTGCCATGCAACGCTCACGCTCCCGGCCACCCGCAAGCTGGTCGTTGAAGCTGGCGGCGGCCAGGGGCCGACCTCGATCGCTATTCAAGCTGCTGTAGCACTAAACCCTAACTGCATGCTGTTAAGGCTTCATGCGTTCCAGATTTACGATTTAGGATAGGGGGGCCACCAGCGAGAAAAGGGATTTGTATAAGACCGTATAAAAGCCAGAAAAAAACCTTGCAACATCCCTATACACATCGCTTGCAAAAGATTTAGATCCAAGGTCAAGGCACCCCAAACCCTAGACATAGACCCCTGAATCCTAAACCCTAAACCCTCAAACCCGAAGCTTGCTAAAACCAAAGCCTTAAGCCCTAGAGCCTGAAAACCCTGCAAGCCCTATTAGCCCTATGAGCCCTAAACCTAGTGCACCAAAACCCCAAAGAGCGGAACCCTATTTCACTAAGCCTCAGACCCTAAACCATACGAGCACTTTAAACCCTTACACCCTTAAGCTTTTCATTAAGCAAAAAGCCTCCTATAGGTCCAACCCTATAAACCCTCTAGGCCCCATCAAACCCGATGAAGCCCCTATGAACCCAATGAACCCATGCGTCCTAAAAAGAACCCAAACTCTGCTACACCCTAGAAGCCCTAGTTCAGACTCCAGCCATATAAACCCGCAAAAACACACGACAGATACCTTTCCTTTTAAGCCCTATCAACCCCCCTAAACCCTAAACCCCATGAGCCCTAAACCCTAAACCCTACCCCATAGACCCTAAAACCCTAAACCCTAAACCCCATGAGCCCTATAAACCCCATAAACCCCATAAGCTCTACACCCTAAACCCCACAAGCCCTAAGCCTAAACCCTAAACCCCAAAACCCCATAAACCCTATAAGCCCCATAAACCCTAAGCCTAAACCCTAAACCCCATAACCCCCATAAACCCTAAACCCTTAAAAACCCTAATCCCCATAAATCCTAAACCCTTATAACTCCTAAACCCTAAACCCCACGAGCCCCATAAACCCCATAAGCCCTCAGCCTAAACCCTATAAACCCCCTGAGCCCTACAAACCCTAAACCCTTATAAACCCTAAACCCTTTAAACCCTATAAACCCCAAACCCTACATCCCATAAACCCCACAACCCCCCATAAACCCGAAAGCCCTAAACCCTATAAACGCTGAATGCTTTAAATTTCTTACACATAGTGTGGGTGGCGCATGGCAGACGTAAAACCAAAAGAAAACTATAAACTCCAAACCCCAGAAACCCCGAGGTAGGGTCCTTGCCCAGCAGATGCTCGAGCTCAAGGAGATCCCGGCTACGTCGGGGCGGGAGCTCACAAATCCCGTTGCCTTAGAAGGGCTTAGGGTTCTAGGGTTCAGGGTTTTAAGGTTTTTAGGGTTTAGGGTTTAGAATTTTAAGGGTTTTAGGGTTTAGGGCTTTAGGGCTTTAAGGGTTTTAGGGTTTAGGGCTTGAAGGCTTTAGGGTTTTAGGGTTTAGGGCTTTAGGGTTTGGGGTTTGAGGGGTTTAGGACTTTAGGGTTTCGGGTTTAGGGCTTTAGGGTTTTAGGGATTTCGGGTTTTAGGTTTTAGGGCTTTAGGGCTTTAGGGGTTTTAGGGGTTAGGATTTTAGGATTTTAGGGTTTTAGGGCTTTTAGGGTTTTAGGGTTTGGGGTTTCGGGTCCCAGACCCTCGTGGAACCCCTAATTCGGGACCCTATGCTGCTAAAGGGTACGTTATAGGAAGCCCCTCTAAAGGAATCTACTTGTTGGATCCTCGCGGCGTTTTGGGTTAAGGGTCCCTTTTTCGGCTTCCTGTCAGGGATCCTTGAGGAGGCTTCGACCTTATGGGCTTTCTTGGGTTTCTCGGGTTTAGGGTTTAGGGTTTAGGGTTTAGGGTTTCCACCTGATAAGGCTGCTTTTAGGGCTTCCTATATAAGGATTGCATTAAGGATGTCTGTCAGGGCTTCTTAGAAATTACAGGGTTCATAAGTTACGTTTGGTGTTAAGGACTCAATTAAAATTCAGGGGGTTAGATTTACACCCTCAACCCGAAGCCCTGGCTTAGGGGGCAGTAAATTTGGGGATTCGGGGGGGTTAGGGGTTTGGTACTTCAGTTCTGTTTCCATGTGTGGATGGGGCAGCTGGCGCAAGCTTCACGGGACAAAATCCAGAACCGGCCCAAAACCCTGAACCCACCGCGATAATCCGCGCATTGCATTCTGATGCCCCCTTAAGCCATCAACCCCCAAGCTAGCACTGAATCAGATTCCCAGAGAACTTCGGGTTTAGGGTGCAGGGGTTCAGGGTCCGACACTCTGAGACTCTGGGCGACCAGGAGAAAGTTTTGGACCCTAGTCATCATCTGTCATGACAGAAGCAGGGGCTTGAATGCACTACGGGGGCCTCAGTACGTCATAATGGTTCATTAGCTAGGTTCCGTAATATGAATGTCTAACCAACATTCCACTATAGTAGGCCCTAAATTACTAAAACCCAATTCCAGGCGTTAACGGCGGCACGTATGAGCAGCCGGGATGCTCTGAACAGTGCACGGCACGACGTGGTCGAAGGTGCCGCGAAGCAATGACACAAATGCGACACTGCTGCCACGAACCTTGAAAACCAGTCGCGCCAACGCCTGGCTGCGGTTCAGGGTTGTACCTACCTTACGCCGAAGTAATACTTACGTAAGGGAATCAGATCAAGGAGCCCTTAGAAGGCAGGTTGCTTAGGGTCCAGGTAGGAGAGGTCTGATCTTGCTACAAGGCGGTCTTCAAGCATGGCGAGTGTGTACAGCGTACACATGTTTCCTCAATCACTGGACCATGTGCTGACAAACCATACCAACTGTATGATTCCAACACGGCCTTTGCCAGTTTGAGATTATCATAAGCCACCCCAGCAGAGCACCAGGAGTAGTAGGATCCTTCGTACATGGACCCATCTCTCCCGACTCCTATTATCTTCCGACCCCATGTCAAGGTCCAACCCTGAAGCTGTGCATGCGCCGCAAGCTGAACGTCGAGCAACCTTAACCTCAGACCCACCCTGAAGGCCTAAACCCCAAAACCTAAACCCTAAACCCTAAACCTCTAAACCCCTAAACCCTAAACCCTAGAAGCCCTGCTCGAACCCAAGTAAAGCCGTCGGCCCTGAATCCCAAGACCCCCAAACCCTCAACGCCTTCCCCAAACCCTAAACCCTAAAACCTCTCAAACCACTAAACCCTAAACCCTAAACCCTAAAACCCCTAAACCCTAAACCCCTAAACCCTAAAACTCCTAAACCCTAAAACCCCTAAAGCCCAGAGCTCCGACTGCTACCGACCTGGTGGTTTTGGTAGGACCGGATGGAGGCGAAGAGTATGCTCAGGGTCATCTTGCAGCCCATGCCTCTGGTTGTACGGGTTTAGGGTTTAGGGT